ATTAATTAACTGCTATAAATGTACGCCCCCCCCCACCCTCTTGGGGGAAACTGACGTCAAAGATTAAGGGCTAATGATAAATATCATAAAGCCTGCCATTTGAAATATATATATATATATATATATATGAAGATGTACTGATGCCAATTCATGTTATTTCAGGGGTATTCCATTTTTGAGCAGCCTTCATAACATTACACTATGCTTTCAATTTCTCTAATTGTAATCTTTAGCTACGCATTTCTAATCAGATTCACTTTAGAGTTAACCAACTGAATGAAGCTTTTTTAGGGTTCTGCTTGTCCTTACCACAGAAATATTATGCAAGGGAAATGTATGAGTGCTTATTTGTGGAAGTCCTGAAAATGGTGAAATTCGGAGAATCAAAATGGTGAGAATGAACTGATGATTGTGCTTGGGAAACGAGACAGGATCTGTGCTTGAGACTAAGGTATCTATATTCTTAATGAAGTAGAGGAACTGCTGAAGCATTCTACAACTTAAAGGCTCACACGAAGGGCTACCGACGTGGCTAAATGCCTAAAGTGTTAATTAGCAATTTGAGCATTCATGATAACATTGAAGAGAGTCTAGGAGTTATGTCAAGCGAATTAAGCTTTACAGGAAGTAACGAACATATCGAAGAAACAAGAATACAACAAATCGACATACGAACACAACTTTAGAATATAACTTTTCAGATACCCACGCGTGATTATGTAGTGGTTACCGAGTTGCTATAATAATTGTATCAAAATAAGCCAAAAAAATTATTTTTACCTTACTACCTGATTTCTCTCAAATTCTTTGTATAAAATTAAAACTCCAAAACTACGAGTCTTTCAAGTCGCACATTTTAATGGAATTAATTAACTCCATATTCTATCAGGGGTATTGTTTAATGAGTCCAGCTCTATTTTAACGCGTTGAAACACAGATTAAACTTATCAATGCCAAAAGAGATTTCTTTGATTGAGAATTTGCAAAAAAATAAGTCATTTGTACAAAATAAGACTCCAGCCTTGAAAATTTAGAGAAATGTGTTAATAATCACCTACAGACATTTACTTATATCAAATGGCAGGCGTTTTTGTAGTTACCATTAGCCCTTTAGTTGACTTCAGGCTCCACAGAGGGGAAGGAACATTGGAGTGGAAAAAATCGAGAGGTGGGGGTGAAATAGAAGAGTGTTTCAAAGACGTAAAAGAGATAGACACAAAGGTAGAAAAAAGATGAGGTGAGTACTGAGGAAATGATCGAATATGACATACAGTGGGGCGATGGTAGTTCGAAGTCAGAAGTCAACTGCCGGTTAATAGACCTTTTTGCCGTATTAGTATACATTGCCCAGGATGCACCACGTGAAGGTAAGTCTATTGCACATCCCCCCTTCAGACATAGAAGGTGGTTATCCCGTGTTCATTTACAGAATATAAATTTAATTTGCTAGCCTGATGAAATCCAGTGACCATACCCAATAGTCATGCTTGAAAATTACCTCAACGAACTTCTTCGGTTTTGTTTTTGCTTTCGAAGCTTGTGGAGTACAAAATTAACCAAGCAATGATAGGCTCGTTCGAAACATTCCGTATATGCGGCCGTGATGCTAATCGCGTTAAGGAACAAATGAAATCACGAGTGCAGGGAACTCTCCACCAATCAATGATCAATAACCATTATAGAGACATCGTGCCAAACAGTAAATAATGAGTAAGCCCTATACCAACACCCTCACATCAGGGGGGGGGGGCACACGTACCTCCCCCAAAGCAAACCAACTAAACGTATTCCACGTCACATTTCTGTTTCCTCTATACAGTTGAGAAAGCTTAGCTAATTCCGAGTCATTCCAAGCTAGAAGATCTTACCATAACTATTAGTGGCGATAATAAATGGCTTATTCGCTATAAAAATCCGCTAAAAGCTTCTCTCCCAGAACGAATAATTCATAAATACTTTTATTTAACCGTTTAAAATCAATTGTGAAATAATGAACATGATTATTGGTGTTAACCTTGAAATATATTCGCGGCGATAGATCATACAAGATGTTTGGTAGTTCATTTTTTGGCACTTGCTACCGCATCCATAGTAAGTAATGTGATTGTCTGAAAATAAAACGAGACTATTTAATATATTCCATTAGTAAAATTCTGTATTTTAACGTTCATTCAGCGGGTTAATCGGTAAAACTTATTGTTTCATTGGTCCGTTTAATACAGTCATTAATTGCTACTCAATTCAAGAAGCATTTAACGATTTTAAGTGCTTCAGAAATGCCACTAAAGTATACAAAATTGGCTGGTGAAATGCTTGTGAGTGGCACAATCATTTACGTACGATATGCT